GGCAGGTCCCCAGTGCTGCTGGAGAGAAACTGGCTTTGACCCCAGCAATGCTTTTTGCCATGCTGGCACACCCATCCCAGCAACCAGCAGCTGCTTTTGAACTGGGAAATTAAGAGGGAGTCTCACTCTCCAGTTATGTGATCCTTTGCTTTTTTATAACTTGACATTTTGGGGAGAAATTGGTTGTTCAGTTGCAGACTATCTCTGTCTCTCATCTTCTCCGCTACGTGACCCCGCTCTCCTTGCACAGAATATAGGTTTCTACTAATGCCAGGTCCTGCTGGCTCCACAATGGCCTTTCCAGGAAATGTTAAAAATGTGCATTGCATTAAGATGTGAATGAAGATGAGCCAACTGGCTCACTGCCAGCAGAGTAGGAAAGGCTGGTACCTGGGTGGTACCATCCAGGGTGAAGGGGCTGCCCCATGCAGGGCAGAAAGAAAATCCAAAATCAGAAGCACTGAGTGTTGAGCTGCCTGACCTAGGAAAGGCTCACAGAAGCAGAGATGGAGATAGCAACTGTTCAATGACAGTATTGAATTTATCTGTATATGAGCTTGTGGGATGGAGGGCCAGTGTGAGTATTTGCAAGCCACAGGCTTGGAGGGGGCCTTGTTCCCCTATATTAGTCTTTATTACTAGTAGGACAGGAGCTACACACCACCACAAACAACCCCTTTGCGTTTTGAAACCAAGACACTGTGGAAACACCACTTCTTCCAATCGGTCCAGTATAGGCATTTAATAGGCTAAACGGTGTAATACATCTACAGGACATACATTAGTCGAGTATTATGTACAGGTGGCATTTTACAAAATTAGAAAGAACTGAAATAGAGCAAAATCCAACAATGTCTTACTCCATAAAACTTCCTTTCTGCACTACATGAAATATTCTACACGCTAGACTAGAAAAATATGACTGAATGTCTTTTTTTTCTTTTTAGTTTCTACAAAGCTTTTAATCCAGGAAAAATACAAAACAACTACTTAGTTTATTAGAGAGACAACACTTGCACACAGACAAAGTTAGTGACATCCATCCACCTGCAAACCTAATAAATAGGGCTTGTTTGTATAAAACAATTTTATCTCTATCTTGCTCTCCTGTTTTAGGGCTTCTGGCCCATGTTCAGAAAAACAAAAATGGGAGGAGGAGTTTGGCTTTGTGTTGTTGTTAAACTGAGGCCGCACGGCTTTAGAAGAAATATTAGTTTGAAGTATCCATTTGCTTCTGGTAAAATACTTCAAGAGAGCAGCCAAAAGGGGGAATAGGAAAGGGGTTATTAGGCTATATATATGGCATTTCTATATGGGCTGTAGCTTTACATACTAGAATGAAAAAAACAGTGCTGTGCTGCATTTTTTTTCAGGGTGTATGTAGAATTTTGTTGTTTCTTTGGGAAACTTATTTAGGGAAGTGCCATTGACCTCAGGTGGAAATAGGATAAGGGCCATCCAGAGCAGGAAGGGAGGGAGCGTCTGAAAGCAGATAGAGAGCACATAAAATTGAGGGAAGTGTTTCAAACAACTGGTTTTCCTTTTATAAAGCAAAAAGCAAATTAAGTGATATGTCTAACGTCATTCCTCACGGAGCTGGGCAGATGCAGATTGAAGGGAAATCACACAGCTAAAAATATGTCGTCACCGTTGTCGTTTTCCCCTCTGGAGCTTTGTACAACTTCTTGATCGTCAATGCAAAAGCAGCGTTTAAAGAACACCTTGCACCCACCCAGCTCTCTTCCTGCCACCACCAGGTGCAGATGGGTCCGAGCAGGGACCTCCTCTCGCTGCTCCTGGGCTACCCAGACACATAGCCTGAGCTTCTTCTCACTTCATCAGCTTTACCAGAAAACTGTCATCAGCAAAGGGGGTGATGGGAACGGCCAGTCAGGTTTAGGAGGTGCTCTTGCAACTGTCAGTTACTCTGGTGAAATTTGGTGCTCTGACCAGAATCCTACTTATCCAACAAAATAATTCCGTGATAGTGTAGGTAAGAAAGTCTACATCAAGAAGGCAGAACAGATTGTTACATAGGTTGAGAGAGCAAAGTTTAACTTAAGTATCACATTATACTATACTACATTGCTTATACAAAGGGTCCTAGATCCCAAACACCCCAGATAATGAGCTACAGTTTTGTACATAAATTAATGTTGCTTTGAAGTAAAATAGTCTCTTTCCTTTGTATTAAACATTCATTGCACAGAATTCTTTGTAAGTAAATATATTAAATTTGGTTGCTAGAAGTTATAAACTTATCAATATATCTGGCCAGTAACTTTTATCCACCATCACACAATTAAAAGTTGCCATTAGAGAAAATTATTACTGGAGAAAAGAAAGCACTTGGAAGTCAACTTAGGAGTTAATGATGGAAGAAATCCTGTTATTTCATTCCACTTACAGCGAGCAGCTTTCTTCCGGCTGCAACATTAATTGGAAGTACAGACCCCATCCAGCCCTGCAGAGATGGAGAAAGCCAGCTTTGTAGCTTACGGGACACTCGTCACTGACACAGTCAAACCCTTTTGAGTACATGCATTATCTATCTCCAACAACACTGTTGAAAGGGTAGCATCTGAGGCCGAGACTGGTGCTTCTCCTGGGATGGTGGGAGGGAGTCTCTGGGAGGTCCCCGTGCAGGAAGGGGTTCACCCCTGTCAAAATAACTCTCATATCTTCAAGGAAAAGCCACTGGAGGCCTGAGGTCTCCAGAGACAGCTTGGTCCACCATGAGCTCTGGTCTCCAGGAGGTGGCTTTGCAAACAAAACCGAGGAGGCTATGCCAGAGATGAGGGCAGGTGTGTGTCCCACCACCTCGGCTCTCCTCCACCCCCTCCTACTGCTCGGGTGCTCGGGGGGGACCTGGCATCAGGCAAAATGGAGGGCAGGTTTGGGTCATGGTGTGGAGCCCCTGCCACCCACCCTCAACCACCGCTCAGCTTGGGTCAAGGGAGGAACAGCTGGGCCTCTGCACCTACGTTACACACAAAACATACCGAAAGAAGAATTGTCATCACAATTTCTATTAACAAGGTGGAATGAATCCAGCCCTGGCAGAAGCAGGAGCCATCTCGGTGGCTTCAAGGGAGAGGGGCGCGCCCCATGCCATGGCTGGACCTAGGCCTAAAGAGCGCACGCACAGCACGATCCACCCGACCAAGTCTACGACAGACAGCCTCACTCCACAAACACCAGCGACTAGCTAATCCGCTTCGTCAATGTACAGCGAGAAAGCATTTCTGAAAGGCGTCAGCCTTATTGAGAAGGCTGCTAAGAAAAGGCTGGTCCATCCGAATTTTCATGTTAGCCAAAGGGAGAGAACTGCTCTGGGCCACCCTGGGGGCGGCAGCCTTGCAGGCAAATCTTACACTTGCATCTCTGTACAAAAGTTACAAAATCAAATGGTGACATTATATTACATCTATTGTCCATAATATCACAGTGTTAGTTTTAAATGGCTAAAAACAAGACAGGTTTTAGATTTAAGACATCCTTCCTGCAGAAATGCAACCCCTTTGTCCTGCCGTTAATACCTGAAAGCAGCCCTGCTTGAAAAAGGTAAACCCAACGAAATGAGCTAATTGAAATTAGGATCATTTTTTCCTTGATAATCTCATATTTTCTAATACATCCCACTGTTGCCCGAGTCAAAATTAAACAAGTAATATGAATCCCAGCCTGAAAATCAAAGTGTTGAAGAGAACAGTTCTAAAGCCCCTGACGCTTCTTACCAGGCACTAACTAACTAAAACCCTTGCAGATTTGAATACAGATTACTTTGACATGTCTTCAGAGTGTGTTAGCTCTCCAACAACATTCACCATGAAGTTTCACTTCTGACGCTGTGGAGTCCCTAGTCATCCTCTTCAGTTCTGCTTTCCAGGGTATCTGTACTGTCTTCGACTTCTTTAGCTGGGTGCGCTAAGGTATCTGCAAAGAAATGGCTTATATTTATTTCCCCACACAGGTGCAATGGCCTTTGTTTGATTCCCTGCTCCACTGGGTAATCAAACCTGGCATGAGTAATTTGCTCTACCTGCAAACGTGGAGCAGGGAACTATGAGTGCATCACAATCTGACTTCACAGGGAATTTGAGACCCCGGAACAGGTACTAATGAGATGAGGCAACGATCCCTACGGATAGACACCGCAGTGGGAGGGCTACATGCAAAATCTGCACAAACTCTCAGTCCTGAAGACACAGTCCTAACCAGCACACAAAACTACCACTGAGGCCATACGTGCAGCCTGGAGGTCAGGCCATAGATTTGGCTCATATTTCTTCTTGAATGGTCAAACCCTGTGGTGGCCACCACTCAGAAACACTAACTGGAATAGCAGGCAATATGACACTTCAAGACCATTTGTCATAGCCCCTTTGAAGGTAAGGAAAAGTGCATCTTGCACCCCATCCTGGCTACTGTCTCTGGGCACTTGGGTGGCAAATGGTGCACTGAAATGGAAACCGAGTCACCCTTTAAAAGGAAAGGAGATCATCAAGGCGAAAAAAACAGAAATAGACGAGTTTTACCCTGGAGCATTCCCTATGAAAGCCACACTTCAACAAGTTCTTATCTTCAGCCATACTTACCCCACAGTGATACTACTAGTCATAGCTACATTTATGAGCTACTGCTACGCTAATGCACTCCTGGGACACCACGATGCTTTGAAAATGTGCAGCTGTTAAACACTTCACTTCTAGGCTAGGACATAGGGAGCTAGATGTATGCTACTGAACAGGATAATCCTAGAGGGAACAGCTATTGTGCTGTAAGCTGCCTGTTGGCATGTGAGTGGCCAGTAGTGAACCTGATGGGGATGAAACCCCATGTGCTTAAAAGCTACAAGGAAATTTTCAGTGCACAGGACTCTCTCCAGTGCAGGTGTTTATGGACACCTTCAAGCACCTACTGCTCTCTGATGCGCTATTAACTTCAGGGCACTGCATGGCCTGAAACTGCTATTTTCCTATGGGGAACAAGGATGAAAATTACTCATTCAGACCTTCCAGATCCATCTGCTGCTGCTTCTGCTGCTGCTGGACACAGACTCTTTGGTCACCATGAAGACCCTTCTCCTCCGCCGATTTCAGGTCATCAGGAGGCCAGCGCAGCTCCCCGCTCTCCACCTCCCCGGACTCGGTTGGTTCTACCACAATCGATGGCAGTCTTTTGGACAGCTTGGGGTATTTCTCACGTGAGTCTGAGAAGGCCTGGTGAGACATTTGGGGACACGTCCATCAAATCCTTGCCCAGAGGTACATACTCACAGCAAGCAGAGTACATGGTCCATCTTAGCATCCTTTCTACTTTTGACATGCACTCCCATGTCCATTAAAAACCCCTTTCAAACTGGTGCAGGGCAATAGTCCTGCACAAGGAGGATTTCAAAAGCAGCTGAATCCACCTCCATGCCAGCCAAGTGTGGACACAGAGGGGCTATAGGTCTCAGCACACTCTCCTCTGCACATGATGCCCCTCCCTGGGCAAAGAACAAACTCTGCTCGCCAGTGGGTCAGACAGATGATTGCCTTGACTTGCATGACCTGACATGCGTAGTAAAAACAGAGACATTGGGCGACAAAATTCATTAAGTTCCCAACATTCGTGTTTCAGTTCTGGTGGGTTTTTAAGACACGAAGGTCACTGCTGTAACACCAAGCTAAATGGCTGCTGCAGCCCTCCTAGGTGCTATCCTTTTACTCTGATGTGATAATTCATGTTATCTTGCTGTGACAGTTTATTAAGAAGTCACCATTCTGCAGAGCTATTTTTTTTCATTGTAAAACACTGTATTTTTTAATGCATTCATGCAAAACAGGTAGCCCCAGAGATCATCTTTACACAGAGGATGGTGCTAGCTATTATTTTCATTTGTCATGCTGAAGTTGCAGGTCAAACACTATGCAGTGATTAGAGCTTGAAGCTGAACTATGTCTTTTTAGTGAAGGATACTGTAACACTGAAAAGTGCTTTCTTGTTTTCAACATCACTAGTTCATTTAAATCTCTCAGGGTACTTTGTTTTGATCTGTTGTTTTGGGTGTTTTGCTGAGGGTTTTTTTGAGGAAAAAAATCATTGCAGCTCCTCCAGGATGTTAACATAAGGCAAACTCTGTTGTTGCTTCACTGAAATCTCATCTCACTGAAACCTCATCTTCCGGCTTCTCAAACTTCCATATACTTGCATGAATGAGTTGTGAATTTCTCCATGTTAGCCGAATTTTATTTTATTTTATTTTATTTTATTTTTTATTTTGCACATAACAATAAAATCGTGCAGACTAGGGGACTGAACTAGGGGTTGAGAGCAAGAACCATCCCATCTAACTTGAGACACTGCCACAGGTTTGCTGTGTGCTGGTGGGAACCTTCCTACATATCTGCAACACATTCACCCCTGAACTGGGTTGGACTGAGCGCTGCTGGTTATGTGAACCAGCCTCAGCACAGACAGAAACATGCAGATATTCCATAACCACCATAAAAGCGGGCACATTCTCCAGGACATCACCAGGGATCTGGGTGCGATGTGTTTGTGCCGTGGCTTTTAAAACCTTCCTTCCTCTCAGTAGCTGCTCTCTCTACGAGCTTAGGGTTTAGTTGTCCCGCTTGGCATCAGAGCTGGCATGGGGAGGCAGGTCCTTGGGAAAGGCAATTCTTTTCCTCTGTGTCTGGGAAGCAGCAAGCACATTTCTATCATTGCTGCGATATCTGTATCTAACTTCTGGTGAAAGACTGTAATTCTCACCCTCATGCCCTTGCTCCCCATGGTAGTGTTGCAGGGATTCATCACTCTCTGCAAATTGACACAAAGGCGAAAAACGTTGTATACTACTTTTAGTGTTGCAAAGCGAGACACAATTAAGAATCATAGAAGAGATTTCTTTTGTGAGAAAGCCCCTGCGGCGCAACTAGACCAAGTGACTCACTGAAGGTAAACCTTTCTGATGCCTCCCTAAGCTGCACCCACATGAGCGTAACTCGTCCTGATCGAGCCCTGCTATCAGAAGAGTTCCTTCCAACTTCCTACTACACAGCCTCCTCCTGAGCTCTTTATAATTTGGAAAGATATTTCCATGGATGCTGTCTGGGCTGGGAGGAATTTTTAAGAAGCTCCTAATGTGATCTTGCACTTTCCAAATATGAGACAAAGTAAAATGTCCTTTGCCAGGACAGACCCTGAGCAGTAGCACACTCTTCTTCAGACCTGCGGTGAAGGCCAGATTCCTGAGCCTCACAGCTCAGCTGGGAGAAAATAGCCACAAAATTCAGGGCAAAATGCCTTATCTCCTCCCAGGGCTGACCATGCAGGTGACAGTGACCATTTGCCCCGGCTGCTGCTCAGCCTGCTTGGGTGGCAGAGGGCTGCATGACAGCCACCCTGTCCCTGAGCCTGCTCGCAATGCCTGGATGGGGGATCCAATACAATAAACTTTCAGCTGTTTTATTTGTTTTCTGAAGCCCTAGGAAATAACACACACTAATCTAAAAACATGCTAGGAGCCGATTATTATGGCCGCAACAAAATTTAGGAAAGGCACCTGTGTGGCCCCAGCTCAGTTATTTTTGTTTGTGTCCTTCTCACATGGTCTTTTCTCACACCAGTTGCATAATGTTTTTTCCACCAGAGCCCGGTATTTACCACGTCCCTCCAGGAATGAGTCAGGACTGGCAGGAAGCAAAGCTGCCTGTCGGACCGTGCTGTGTTTTTCTGCGGAAGCTGGAGTATATGACAAGTGGGCAGGAGACTGAAGGAGGAGAAGGACTGGTCTCCTGGCCAGAGTACTTGGAAGTTGCTGGAAGAAACCTAGTTTTCCCACTGCGTCACTGACTTTGCATTGCCTCTCGTTTATTTTTGCTTTTTTTTTTGCCTCAGGTGGCCATCACTAAAATGGGGATGGTTCCACTCTCTCCCAGAGGGGAAGGGTGAGGGAGCTCACGGTAAACCTCTGGAGCATATAGAACCATAGAACAGCTCTAAATACATAGGTGGAGATGAAGCTGGCACAGAGTTTGGGCAGTGTGCACCAACACAATAATGAAAACCAGAAACTCAGTGAAAAAGAGGAAAGCGAATATTGAAAATGCAGTCTTTGAGTGAGCAGCACCTACCCTGTGCAGTCAATGATGCATGGAAAAGCCTATGGTACGCTCTTTAATTGCATACAGCCTTTCATTACATGCACAAGTGATCTGAAAGGAATCTGCAAAAATTCAGTTCTGACTTCCCTGGCTTTCAAATGCTTGATTTTAACCTGCAGTAGGCTGCTTCCAGAGCAGCTTTCTAAGTCTGCTTGCAATAATACACCTTGTGTTGAGAAGCAGCTTGAGTCCACCAGGACACAGTTAGGTTGTTCGTCCCTGGCAGTGACACTGAGAGTCATGAGCAAAACCACAGAGCACAAACTGAGGTGCAGGGGCTGTCACAAAGGGGGCTTGGGACATCGTGATCCCTCCTGCTGGAATCGGCACCGCAGGCGGGTATACGAGTGGGTGTGTGAGATCGCCTGGGGACAGAAAATGCTCTTGCACCTGCCAGCAAATGGCCCTGACCAGTGCAGCCACGATGCCACAGCCATTTATGTGAATTACACAACCATTTCAAATGGTCTCTTTTCTAAAAAGGGAACTCCCCTCCGAGCCTGAGGAAACTCAGTCTATTGAAAGGGTGGATGTGTAAAAGCTGTCATACAGTATAGGCTGGATGTCTTCATCACAGGATGGTTGCTGAGATCTGAACTCTTGGTGACAGTCTCTTTGCCTGCATCCCCGCAGGGGCCAGGCGTAGCTGTCATCATGCCCTGGAGACCTGGCATCTGGCAAAGCCCTCCTGCCAGAACTTTCACCTTTTAAAAAGAAAACCTAAGTAGGATCAAACACATATCTCAGGGCTTGTTCTTCTGGCACCTGTGCTCTGCAACTCACCATCTACATGTATGACAGGTATTGGTTGCAATGAATTACTTTTGAAAAGCAACTCAGGATATTTTCCAGTTTTTCTAATGTTACCTGGCTTGAAGGACCTCCTTCTTCCTCAGGAGTTTGGCTGAGCGTGAATTCCTCCATGACCGGTTCCCGTGTGTTCATCACCTCTGTCATGCTGCAAATATTAAAATGGGAAAACTCAGCTCTGAGCTTTGACCCCACAGTTAGTTTAATATGACGTTTGTTAAAATGTCAGGGTTACAAACTGTCCTTTCTAAACAGCCCCCTGAGAAGTGTCTCCTTGGCCCTCCAAGCCAACTGCCACTGCTGTGGACCCCAGCTGACCCCCAGGACAGCTGAAGGGACACCCATAGAGTCCCAGATCTGTCAACAGGAAAAATGGGAATCCTCCAATGTTATCAGCAAATGGTTTATTACTCATATATGAGCTCAGAAAGTGCATCTGTTGACCAAAAAAGTTAACTCATGGAAATATCAGCCTTGAATTAAATTCTCATTCTGATTCTATGTCTTCAGTATTTGCTCTTCCCAGATGTCTATTCCATTTAATCATGAGCCAGCAGTTCGTTATAAACTGTTAATTCCAGACAGACCAGCTGTATCGATGTCTAAGGGCCAGATTTTCAGTAATCTTTACTTGCCTGAGTGTTCAGAGAAGTGTCAAGTGGGATTTTTCAAATGCATCAGGGAAGGTTTGGCACCTAAATCCCATTTAAATTAATAATTTAGGAACCTAAGCTGCTTATGCATCCATTAAGCAACCCCCTGCGCTGTTTGGCACTCATGGCCCTACAGCTCTGACCATTGCCCTGCTCTTGTTCCACTGGGCACTTCAGCACCCCAGAGCAGAGGGATGAGAGATGGGTCCCATCTGCAGGGAGCTCAGTCCAGCCCATGGCTGGGTAGCTGCACGTCTGCATGGCATTAGGATTTTCCTCCCATTTGAGATTTATAGATATAGCATTCTACTGAAAAATTTGAGGATGTCTGAAAACTTCAGGCATGAACAGAGGCTGCACCACTCTGACCTACAGACTAAAGGGGCCACATTCATTCTGGATAGGAATACATCAGCCCTGGATGAGCTTGGCCACAAGTATTTCACTCTCTCTAGCTGGCATTCATCAGGTACAGCAGCTACTGCCTGATGGAGCCTCCTGCAGCACACAGAATGTAGGCATCATCAATTATACCGCCCTGCCACCTGCCACAGCAAGCACCCCTTTAGGCATGACTAAATGCTGCCATTAATTCTGGTCCTGCTTCACACACAAAAG